CGCGGGAGCAAGGCCCAAGAGCATCTAGCATGTGACTTTATATGCTGGAGTGAGGCCGACTAGGAGAGCGGCTGCAGGGGCTATGTCGAGGAAGACTATCCCCAACTGCTTGATTTCACCATGAATGGATGCCACCTTGGTGACATAGTCCGCCATGCCTGGCGAGTCCTCGAGCCGCACGTGGAACATGCTTGGGATAAGTATAGCAATTCCCTTTGCAGTCTTGTTCAGGAAGTGGTCTTCGAGGTAGAGCCAAATGGCGTTGGCAAACAGGTAGTTGTGGTAGGTTTCGACGAGTTCGGGAGGAGTGGTGCCCATGAAGACAATAATTACTGCGCCATCGGCCTTCTCCCAATTCTTGTACTTGAGTAGTGCAGCAGCATAAACTGCTTCGGCGGCGGCATAAGCTGGATCGGCAGATGTCTCAGGTCTAAGAGGCTCTTTGCCGTCACCGATGTTGAGAAGGACGTCAGTGAGCTCGAGCCCCTTCACCTCGTGACTGAGGAGGTGCTTGTCAACACCATAGCGCCAAGCCTTGTAGTTGGAGCATGTACTGTCCGACTCGAGACGAAGGAGCGGGATCGAGTTGGCGAATGAAGTGGTTGAGTAAGCCATTGCCGCTTTGTTTTCGTGAAGTGACGCTCTTAAGTTACCGATAGGAACTTCGGTGTACAGCACGGCACTTCTGGAAATTGGTCGACGAGAATTGCTAAAAATCACTCCGGCGGCTTCGTCGAAATGCCGCTAATAAGGAAATGGCGTCGGCGGAAATTCGTTAAAACGCCAACTTGAAACTGCATCTGAGACTATGTCTAACCCCGGACACACACACCCCCAGGCCCTGTCCCGCAGCTACACAGCTCCGCAACCAGCTCCGCAACCAGCTTTGCTCCCCTTCCACATGTGTACCTGCTGTTTCTTGACGCGAGACGTTGATGGAGGCGATTTCACGAGGGGAGTTTGCATATTCTGGCGGGGTCTGAGGAGAATCGAGGAGGAAATCGACGATGAGAAGGGTGAAAGCTTTCGACATAAGAAATTCAACGAGGTTGAGTGCAAAGGCAGTCGACGATGAGAGGCGCGATTGTAAAGTGGAGCACGTCGAAAATTCCTACGACTCGAGACGAATGTCGCAACGATGAGGTGCGCGTAGCGCGGGCATGTTAAGATTAGGACCTTGATCCACGTGTGTGGATAGGTCACCCTTATACCATGTAAGAAATAGAGTTGAAAGGATTGATTAGGTAAGGAGCCCAAGGCTCTATAAGTACATGGCAAGGTGAGAAAGGATGGATGAAGGGGGAATCGGGGAATCCCCTCTTGGATCTCCAGAATCTCCAATTGGGTAATTGGAGATTAGGGGGATCACAATTGGGTGAGGTTGGGATTTTGTGAGTACACCCCAACTCACTTGAACATTCCTAACCTAAACTAGGATATAAAAGTAAAAATATAAAATTGGGATTTGCAATCTATTTCTAACAGAGGAGGCGGAGCAACAACAGGCAACGACGGAGGAGGCGAGGGGAGGAGGGGAGGACGAGACGCTTGGGAACAAAGCAAAATGGGGTGAGAGCGCTGGACAGGAGAGACACGATGAGCACGAGACGGCATTGAGACCAGAAGCGGGACGGAGGCGTCGGGTCAAGAGACACAGGAGGAGAAACAGGAGGAGAACGAGGGACAGCGGCAGGCGCTGCAAGCGGCGTGAGTGTGGCGTGGTCATGGAAAAAGCAGGCAGACGCACCAGAGTCAAGTGTAAAGGACAGCAAAGCAGAATCTGCAGCCGGAGGAGGCACACTGTGGCGCATTAGACTAGCCCTGTCAAGGAGGTCCAGGGCCGGGCCGAAGCGGCGACGCAAGAGGCCATCGAGGCGGCGGAAACAGCGGACGGTCGGGTGCAGGCAACGACACACAGTGCCGCGGAGGGGGCCGGTCCAGAGCTGGTACGGGCAGCTGACAGAATTGAGGCTGCCAGCCGACGCCGAGCTGCGAGGGCCGGAACCATGGCCACCACCGCCAGAGGCTCTTGGCCACCCCGGCGGGAGACGAGCCCACGACTGCTGCTGCTGCTCCGGCTACTGCTGCTGCGGTTGTGGCGACTGCTGCTGCTGCTTCTGGACACCAGCCCCAACCCGCTTGTCCGAACCACTGTACCCGCCATCATCACTACCACCACTACCACCACTATTACCTCCAGCGCCACCACCACCACGCCCTTCCTTGGGGCCGCGGTGGCCCCTCCGCTATCACTGCTGCGGGAAGGCCGCAGCCGCGGTCTCAGTGGTCGGGGCAGCCGTAGCGACTGTGGCGGAAACGTCACCGTATGCGCACTGGGAGGGAGCACAACCCGGAAAAATAGGGACTACCGCAACACCGCTCGACTGAGCGATAGTGCGTTGGCGAATCTCTATCTCAGACAGGGCATTGACAAAGGCAGTTAGGGTGAGGTTGCCTGGGTGCCGGCTAAGGAAGTGGTCTCGGGCAGTGGCTAAGCGGTCAGGCAGGCGCATGGCAATAAGGTACAAGGTAGCGCATAACGGCGGAGGGAAGGCTGTGAGCTGGGCGTTAGTGCTAGCGTAGCGGTAGCTAGCCTCTAGTGCACGGAGGTGAGGGGCTAGGTCAACGACAGTGGGAAAAGCAGAAAGATCAGGGAACAGCATAGGGAGGATCAGGCGGAGGTGGGTTGCTAAGGGACCAGTGAGCGCGCAAGGGGTCGGCGGGGCACTAAGGGCCGGCGGGGCGCTAGGGCCAGGCGGGGCGCAGGAGGGACCAGCGGGCACGCGAGGGGTCGTCAGGACGCTAAGGGCTGGCGGGGAGCTAGGGCTAGATGGGGCGCGTAAGGGAACAGCGGGGCGCGCTAATGGGGCTGGTGGGGCGCTGAATACTAGCGGGGCGCGCTAAGGCCAGCGGGGCGGTAGGCTAGGGCAAGGGCGGAAGCAGGTGGGCGGACCTAACCTACTATGATACCATCTTAGAGTAGCAGAATGATTAGAACAAGGGAGTACAGGAGAGGATATTGTTAGAATAGCTCAATGAACTAGATTGTGCCATACAGGGAGGTTTTGTGCTATGATGCTGTACCCTCTATGAGCATGCACCTATCTAGTATGTAACATATACAACATATGTTGACACACCCCCTAGGCTAGACAAGGGGCAGTGCCTGGCAAGAGACACGCAGCTCAGGGTGGCACTACTAGTCCAACCTCTAAGGCAAGGGTCTGAAGACCAGTCAGAAGAGTACAAACAAGACAAAAGCAAACCAGGGCGGCACTACTAGTCCGGCCACTGGAGCAAAAATCACAAGGCCAGTCAGGAGAATATACTAAGAATAGTACACAATCAAGGTCCTAGCAAGTGAGGAGCTACTGGAACTAGACCAAGCTGTACACAGTGTCACTGATCATCTTTAGGCATAAGCGCCTTAGTAAAGATATCAGATATGTTGGCGCCGGGCCTGGCGTCGCTGCTGCAACTCGCGCAAGAGGAAGTACCTCAGCTGGATGTGCTTCGCTCTACCATCCAGACGATGCTCCTGACACAGGAGGATCATGGCCGTGTTGTCAGCGTACAGGACCGAGGCAAAGCTAGGCCGCTCACCTAAGTCTGTGAGCAGGAACGCCAACCAGCAGAGCTCCTCTGCCGCCATGGCACCTGCGTAGATCTCAGCTTGGCAGCTAGACTGTGCAACAGACGACGAGCGGGTGGACCGCCACGAGACAACGCCTGCACCAAAGGCTAAAGTAGTAGCCCTGAGAGGGCCTGAGCGTCTCTGCGTCGTCGGCCCACGAAACGTTTGTGTGCCTCATCATGACTATTGGCATGCGTCCTCCTAACACTAGCCCCATGCTCGATGTACTTGCTAGATAATGCAAAACCCTCTTAGCTGCCGACCAGTGCTGTGGTCGGTGTCTGTTTGTCGCCACGAAGCGAGCCATGATGCTGAGAGGGTATGCGAGATCTAGACGAGTGCAAGTGATCAGGCTCTGATACCATGTTAGAATAACGCCATGAACTAGATTGTGCCATGCAGGGAGGTTTTGTGCTATGGTGTTGTACCCTCTATGAGCATGCACCTATCTAGTCTATAACATACACAAATATATATAGACAGATATAGGGTTAGGGTTGTACCCTCTATGAATACAAACCTATCTAGCCCATAACTTCTACATATAAACATAAGCCTTTCCGCGATGCACCTGGCAGATCTCTTCAGAGAACGACTTGACGCCTACTGACTTGGCGCGCCAGCGTGGTTCCACGGACGCCAGAGTGGCATTACGGGGAACTGTGGTCCCTCCCAGTGGTGCGAGCCAATGAGGCTGGTGACAGGTGCGTCAGAGCACGTGGCGGTTGGACAAGTCAGCGCTGAAATTCTCTTGTTGCGGAAAAACAATTCTTGCCTCCGAGCAATCTTACGAACACATGGTGGACTGGTGTACGTGAATCTATATAGTTCAGCTTCAGAATTCGGCTTGTAACGCAGAAAGGATGCCAGCTACACCTCAACCACAGCCAGCAATGATGTTTTCTGGCGACAAAGAACTGAATGATAAACCGCGATCAAATTGTGCCAGAATAAGGGCGCGGAACCGAAGGAACGAACATGGCTTGTTCGAACCGTAACCACGTTGAACCGTAACCACGTTGAACCATACAAAAAATGCACCATTTCTAACCAATTTTAACCTCAATACTTTTGAATTTGAGCCCTGTTCGTTCCTTCGGTTCCACGCCCTATTAGACGTGACCCCAAGGCTTCAGGGCGGGTCCCAAGAGTACCTCTCCCATTCGTTTTATACGGTCTAATTTGGTGCCTAAAGGTTCAGAGCGGTGAAAAACGAATACCGGTTTTGACTACCGTACACCACCGCAAACACTGTATGCGGGACGTAATGCTGAAATGTTTTACTTGCTAACAGCGTGCTCTTATCGCGTCTATTTTGCAGTCTCCCGTATGGCATCTCAACAGGAAGCCCATTCGTATCTGGTCACTCCGACGCCTTCCACCAGAAGATCCTAAATTTGCCTCGAAGCGCCCGCACCTGCCCACAGCAGGCATGGATGACGACTTCGATGATGGAGATTACTACGTCAAGCCGCGCATGCGCCTCGCATCCGAGCCGTTCGTTTCGCCAGAGGACCAGCTAGATCCGGACGCCTCGGTCTCTCGCCCAGTTCGATACATCCTCTGCGGATTCGCCGCCGCGCTGCTCGCCGCGGGAATCGTGACGTCGGGGTTCCTCCAGTTCGCCCTCATCTGGATCACGCTAGCCCTCGTTATAGGCCCTCTCGCTCCAATCTCACAAACAGGAGGGGACTGTCGAGTTGGTGTCGGTCCCCCGCTAGAAGAACACTTGCACGCGGAGGCCGAACCAGCAGAGGATCCGTCCCCATCCTCTCGTTACAAGCCCGTCATTCCGCGTGAATCCCGGGAGGCCGAGTTGGCAGATCTCCCCATCCAACGCTCCGCAAATGACGGCGCGACAAACGTCGGCGACGCCGCGGAGAGCCTGGGGGTCGACACGAGCGAGTGGACGCGGGAGGAATGGGACCAACTCAAGAAGCTTCTCGTGAAGCTTCCTCGCGGCACGACGCAGCGGTGGGAGAAGGTGGCGCGCGGTGTGGGGTCGGGGCGGCGCGCCGTGGACGACGTGGTCCGATCCGCCAAGGCCGTGGCGCTGCAGAAGCCGTCGGATCGCGACGCGTATGCCGCGTTCCTCGCGCAGCGGAAACAGCACAAGGGAAGCGCGGGGGGAGCAGCAGGCGGAGCGGGGGGAGCGGGGGGAGCGGGGGGAGGGGATCCGGCGCCAACGAACAGATGGGAGGAAGAGGGGGTTGGACCGGGGGGTGCGGGGGTGGGGAGTTCTGCTGCAGGAGAGTCTGAAACGGACGGCAAGGTTGGTAACTCGGTTACCACGTGGACGGAGGCGCAGGACCGGGCGCTGGTGCAGGCGCTGAAGGAGTTCCCCAAGGACACGGCCCTGCGCTGGGAGCGCGTGGCCAGTGCAGTGCCGGGTCACAGCAAGCAGCAGTGCTTCAAGCGGTTCGCAGAGCTGAGAGACAACTTCCGCAAGAAGGGGTCCGACCTCGCAGGTGAGCGTGGCGTGCACCTGAGGCTAGCTTGCTTGGCCCTGGCGCTCAGTGAGGCTTGCTTGGCGTTGGACGCACCGATGCGGTGTGAGCGCGTGGCCAGTGCCGTGCCGGGTCACAGCAGGTTGCAGTGCTTCAAGCGCCTGAGAGAGAATTTCGGCACGGGGCTTGCAGGTGGGCTTGGCTTACGGGTGAGGCAGTTCCCCCAGGTGAGGGAACGCTTCTGCAAAAGGGGCTCCGACCTGGCAGGAAGGCCTGGCTGCTGCGAGGTAGTGTGGACTCGTGTGTTCCCTCTTTGCCATTCCGTGGGCGGCCACGCTCCCTCGTGTGCCTGCTTCCTGTGTTGGCTGCCGCCATTCCAAGGCAGTCCTGCTGCCGTCCACTGGAACCCCCATGAAACAGACATCCTTCCTTGTTGCCACTGCGACCAACCCGTGAGGACATCCCGTGCGATCAGCCCTCGCATGAGTGAGGCGGAGAGGGAACTCATCAGCAGTGCGGCTTTGCTCATTAACCCGCTTTTGCATGCATGTGCTTCTGTGTTCCTGTATGCTTGTGCTTTTGTGTTCTTGTATGCATGTGCTTCTGTGTTGCTGTATGCATGTGCTTCTGTGTGCCTGTATGCATGTGCTTCTGTGTTCCTGTATGCTTGTGCTTTTGTCTGCCTGTATGCATGTGCTTCTGTGTTGGTGTACGCTTGTGCTTCTGTGTTCCTGTGTGCTTGCGCTTCTGTGTTGCTGTATGCATGTGCTTCTGTGTTGTGTGTGCCATTGTGGGCATGGACGTGTGATGGGGCAAGTGGGTTTATGGGTGTGTGTGTGTTTTGGGGAAGGGGAATTGGGTTGGAGGGTGGAGGGTGCGGGCATGCATGTATGTTTCTGCACGTGTGTGCGCCATGCGTGCACCTCCAGAGTGACGCCAGGTGGAGTCATCCGAGTTCATCTCTCATCTCACCTGCTGCTCGCATGTGCCAGCGCCCGGTTCTTCTCCCTGTCCACCCAGCCATACTCGCGTGTTTCTTTGAGCATTGGAGCTCTAAATCGTTGGGGCATGTGGTGCGGAGGGTGCAGTGTTCAGCTGCGCCATTGATTGAAATGCCACCATGGTGTCCTAGTGCACATTTGTTGGGCCATGCTGCTCTTCTCTGTTAACGTAGAAACGAATGATTACTAGAGGTGGAAACCTAGAACAAATACTAGTTGGTTGTACTCACTAGAAGCATACCTCAGTCTAGCCTATAACTTCTACATAGATAATATGTATAAGTTGACACACCCCCTAGGCTAGACAAGGGGTGAAACTAAACAAGAAGCAAACAGCTCAGGGCGGCACTACTAGTCCAACCACTGAGGCAGGGGTCTGGAGACCAGTCAGCAAGAATACAACCAAAACTGAAGCAAGCCAGGGTGGCACTACTAGTCCAGCCACTGGAGGTAAGGCCACAAGGCCAGTCTGACAAGCATATATAATAGAGAGTACACAATCAGGATCCTAACAGGGGAGCAGCTACAGGAACAAGACCAAGCTGTACACAGTGCCGCTGATGATCTTTAGGCGCAAGCGCCTTAGTAAAGATATCAGCTGTGTTGGCACCTGAGGCCAAGTGAACTACGCGGGCCTGGCGGCGCTGCTGTAGCTCGCGCAGGAGGAAGTACCGCAGCTGGATATGCTTCGCTCTGCCCTCAAGCCGAGGCTCCTGACACAGGAGTATCATGGCCCTGTTGTCAGCGTACAGGACCGGGGCAGAGCTAGGCCGCTCACCTAAGTCTGTGAGCAAGAAGGTCAGCCAGCGGAGCTCCTGTGCCGCCATGGCACCAGCGTAGATCTCAGCCTCACAGCTAGACTGAGCCACAGACGACGAGCGAGTGGATCTCCAAGAGATAGCACCCGAACCAAGGCTGAAACAGTAGCCCTGCGACGACCTGAGCGTCTCAGCGTCGTCTGCCCAAGAAGCGTCTGTGTGCCCAGTAAGGACCACTGGCCTGCGTCCTCCTAGCACTAACCCCATGCCTGATGTACTAGCAAGATAACGCAAAACCCTCTTAGCGGCAGACCAGTGCTGAGGTCGGTGTCTGCCTGTAGCCACAAAGCGAGCCAGGATGCTGAGAGGGTATGCGAGATCTGGGCGAGTGCAAGTCATCAGGTACATGAGGCAACCCACCAGCTCTGCGTAGGGGCCACTGGGCTCTACTGGCTCCTCAGGAACGGGAGCAGAGAGCCCATGGTCTACGGGTAGAGGTGTGGGCTGTGCAGAGGAGAACTGAAGACCGAACCTCTGAAGGACCTGACGCACCAAGTGTGACTGGGTCAGAGTGATGGTGCGTGCTGCTCTGTCCCTAGAGATCTGCAGGCCAAGATAGCGACGCAGCTCTCCAAGGTCAGTGCAGGTGTGTCTCTTCAGCAGCTCAGCCTTCACAGAGGCCAGTGCGTCCCTGTCAGGAGTAGCGAAGACCAGGTCGTCTACGTAGACAAGGATGTAGAACGGAGTCTGGCCGGAACGCACAAACAGTGAAGGGTCAGCAGAGGACGGAAAGAACTGCAGGTCTGCTAACGTGGCACGTAGCGTGTCGTGCCACTCGCGGGGAGCCTGACGCAGGCCGTAGACCGGGCGCCTGAGAAGCCACTGGGTCCCAGGAGGGAAGGTACCAGTGAAGCCCTGTGGTCGGCGCAGGTAGACCTGCTCGTGTAGGCTGCCCTGAAGAAAGGCAGTAGAGAAGTCGAGGGAGTGAAGCTCGTAGTCACGCTGTGCTGCTACGTGTAGCAGCGCCCGAAGAGTGGTCATCTTCGGGGTCGGGGCGAAGGTCTGGAAGAAGTCAACCCCCTCGCGCTGACTGAAACCTCTGGCCACGTAGCGCGCCTTGAAGACAGGCGGCTCTCCAGGGGGGCGCTTCACCTTGAAGAGCCACCGACCATCGACTACGTTCACCCCAGGCGGGGGAACTGCGTCGACGTAAGTGCCGGTGGATCTCCAAGATGCCATCTCCTGCTCCATGGCAGCTATCCACTGAGAGGCCCAAGGTCCCGAGGTGGCCTCAGCGTAGGTGCGAGGGGTCGGGATGTCGAAGGCGTCTGGGTCACCCTCAGGGACTAACAGCATGGAGCAGAGATGGGGAGCAGCCTCGGAAAGGAAAGCCAGCTCGTACTGCCTGTCCTCTAGGACGTCACTGCCAAGGGCAGGAGCACCCCCGACGGACAGAGGACGGGCAGGGTTAGAGACCAGAGCGGTAGCGTAGTCAAGGCGGCGGGTAGAGGCGAAGTCAGCGACAGCAGCGACAAGCGCGTCAAGGCGCGAGACAGGAACAGCAGGGTCGGTAACAAGAGAGGCAAGGACCCGAGGGACAAGGGGACGAGCAGCACGGAGGTAGTCAGAGAACGGAGGAGGTGCAACAGCAAGGGACGAGGGAGGAGGGGACGGGAGGAGGGGAGGACGAGACGAGTGGGAACGGAGCAACATAGGGTGGGTGGGCAGGACAGGAGAGACGGGACGAGCACGGGAGGGACGGCGAGCCCAAACGTGAGACGGAGGGGTAGGGTCAGGGGACAGCGGAGGAGACACAGGAGGGGAACGAGGAGGAAGACGGGCCGGAGACGAGTCTGGCGGCGGGAACACAGGACCGTAGACAGGAAGGTCAGGAGGCGGTGGGGGAGACACCGGCGCGCGGTCCGGGGAGGGAAGGCCGAGCAGGCGGAGAGCGGAAACCGGCGGCGACGGCTGCTGCGGCGGCGACGACGGCTGGGCCGGAACTCTCGGACCAGCAGAGGCAGAACGACCGTCGGCAGAACACTCAACAGCAGCACCCCCAGAACCAACACCCCCAGAGCGAGAACCCCCTCCAACACCAGCGGCACCCCCAGAAGCCGCAGGACGAACACCCTCCTCCACACCAGCACCCCCAGGGGCCGAGAGCAGCGGCGGCAGTGGCGGCAACGGCTGCGGCGGCGGCGACAGCGGCGACGGCTGCGGCAGCGACAGCGGCGGCGGCGGCGACGACAGCGGCGACGGCTGCGGCGGCGACGGCGACGGCGGCGGCAGCGGGGTCGGCGACTGCGACAGTGGGGGCGGAGGCACCGGGGAAGGGGGACGCTGCAAGGACGGACCGGGGGTACCACCAGAGTCAGCAGACTCCTCAACGGGGACAACCGACGGGAGGGGAGTGACGTGGGAGACACCAGACGGGGCAGGACGAGGCGGGAGAGGGGCAGGGGCTACCGGGGGAGAGGGAGCAAGGAAAAGGGGGGGGGCAACTGGGAGACCTCGGTGAGGGAAGCGGCGGTAGAAGGAGACGGACTCGTCAAAGGTGACGTCACGAGAGTGGAGGAAGCGGTGAGACGGCGGGTGGTAGAAAAGCCAGTCAGACGAGTCCAGGGGGAAACCGAGGAAGACACAGGGGACAGTGCGGGCAGTGAGCTTGTCCGTGCCAGAGGCACGAACGTGAGCAAGGCAGCCCCAGACGTGGAACGCAGACGCGTCACCGGGGGACCCGGTCCAAAGGAGGGTCGGCGAAACCTGCGGCCGCTGGGAGCGTGGCCACAGGTTAAGCTGGTGAGCCGCGTAGCGAACAGCGAACGGCCACAGAAAATGGGGGGCATCGGCATGGATCATGGAGGTACGGGCGACCTCCATGACCAAGCCGATGCGGCGCTCAGCAACCCCATTCTGCTGTGGCGAGTCCGGCAACGTGTACGACTGGGTGATGCCCTCCGCACGACAGAACTGTCCAAGCCGACCAGAGGCGAACTCGCCGCCACGGTCGGAGTGGAGACACAACACGGGGAGACCGCGGTGGAGACGCGCAGCCACAACCCACGGGAGAAGAACGTCGGGCACGTCGGCCTTCCGCTCCAGGGGAAACACCGTGGTGTAGCGCGTGTAGTCGTCGACGAGCACAAGGAAGTAGCGCTCACCGCGCGGTCCGGGGACGGGGGCAGGGCCCCAAACGTCCAAGTGCAGGGTCTGAAGGGGGGCAGTAGCAGGACGCAGCGAGGAGGAGTGAGGAGCACGGCGGAGCCGACCCTCGACGCAAGGCGTGCACGGTGGCGCAGTCGAGGGAGGAAGGGCAGGGAGCGACGCGGGGAGACCTAAGACAAGACCGTGCTGGGACATGTGACGCAGACGCGGGAGAGCAGGGTGACCTAAGCGGTGGTGCCAGAGAAGGGAGGGGTGAGTGAGGGACCGACACGAGCAAGCTGCAGCGACCTGGGAGGACGCACCAACCGGGGGGGAAGCGGTGTGTAGGGTAAACAGACCGGACACCGGGTCCCGGGGGAACGTCGCAAGGGGGGAACCTGAGACAGCCTCAGAACAGACAGCGAACCGCTCGTGCCCGGGGAACGTGGTGGTGACGCCGAGGTCCTGGAGACAGCCGACACCAACCAGGTTCCTGGAGAACGAGGGAACGTGGAGGCCAGTAAGGGAGCCCGAGGGAACTGCCGGACAAGGAAGGGACGTAGAACTGCGCGCGACGACCGGACCCGCAGAGGGGTCTGCGAGAGAGACAACAGCAGGTGCAGCAAGCGGCGTGAGCGTAGAACGGTCGCGGAAGAAGCAGGCAGAAGCACCAGAGTCGAGAGTGAAGGACAGCGACGCAGTGGCGGAGGCCGGGGACGGAGCCGGTGCAGCGACTAGACTAGGCAACCTAGGCAGTCCTACGCCTGTCGCAGCAGGGGAAGCTAAGCTACACAAGGGTGAAACACCTAAACTAGAGTACACAGGGTAGTAAGATCCAGCAACACTAGAAGCGTCAGCATACAAAGCATGCAAAGCAGCACCTATCTGATCCATGTCTAACTCAAAGATCGGCACGCCCTGGCGGAGTAGGCTGTGCCAGTCAGGGAGGTCCGGGGCCGGGCCAAAGCGACGACGAAAAAGATCGTCGAGGCGGCGGAAACAGCGGGCGGTCGGGTGCGGGCGGCGGCACAGAGTGCCGCGGAGAGGCCCGGTCTGAAGCTGGTACTGGCAGGTCACAGCACTGGAGCCGCTGGTAGACGCCAAGCTGCGCGGGCCGCCACCACGGCCACCGCCTCCGGAGGTGCCGGGCCAACCAGGCGGGAGACGAGCCCACGGCTGCGGCGGGTGCTGCTGGGACGGCGGCTGCGGCTGGGGCTGGTCCTGCTGCTGCTGGGGCTGCTGCTCCTGCCCACCGGTGGTAGTCCCCTCAGGCGGACGACCGTCACCACCACCACGACCACTACCACCTGCGTCACCACCCCTACCTCCCTGGCGGCCACGGCCACCGCGACGCGAGCGCTGCTGCGGGTGGACAGCAGCAGCCGTCTCGGTAAGAGGGGTCGCCGTGGCGACCGCAGCCGAAACGTCAGTGAACGTGCACTGGGATGGGGCACAGCCGTGAAAGATAGAGACTGCCGGCGCACCGCTCGACTGAGCGATAGTGCGCTGGCGAGTCTCGATCTCAGTGAGGGTGTCGACAAAGGCGATCAGGGTGAGGTCACCCGGGTGCTGGCTAAGAAAGTGGTCGCGAGCACTAGCGAGGCGGTCTGGCAGGCGCATAGCGATAAAATAGAGCGTCATGCAGAAAGGAGGGGGGAGCGCAGTGAGCTGGGCAGCAGTGCTGGCAGTGCGATAGCGAGTCTCTAGGGCACGCAAATGAGTGGCAAAGTCTGCGACAGTAGGGAAGGCAGCCAGGTCTGGGAACAGCATCGGAAAGAGCAAGCGGCCAGCAGAAGCGGAGGCAGGGGTGGAATAGCGAGCAATAACGGCGTCTAAATAAGCTTTGGCCGTTTCAACAGTAGCAAAACGCGAGCGCTCAGACACAGGGAGGGCGTGACTAATAGCAACTTGAGCTACTGCATCGCGTGAGTCCCAGACCGCACAGGCCAGCGCAGCAGTAGAGAAAGCCTCACGGTCATCAGAGGAGGGGTCAGCAGGGAGGGGAGTAGGTGCAGGGGGACGGGGGAGCAAGCCATCAGCATGGACAACCAAAGAGTGGCCATCCTGGCGCTGACCTGTAAGCTGGCGGCGGAGATCGGAGAGCCAGGCGGCGAAGTCAACCGCGTGGCCCTCAGCGTCCAGGCGGAGCACAAAGTCAGCCATCGTGCAGGGTCAGCGGCACAGCTCCTCAGCGACACAGCGGCACAGCAGCACAGCTCCTCAGCGGCACAGGAGCACAGCGGCGCGGGGACACGGCGGCAGCACTCTCCAGTAGGGCAGCAGCTAGGCGTCCCAGCGCAGGCGAGCAGAAGACACAGGGCCCGAGAGGACACGGCAGGCCGAGCAGGGGAGGCGGGCAGGTGCTCTGGGGCCGGGCTGGTGCTGGGAGGGGCCAGGCTGGTGCTGCTGGGGCCGGTCGGGCACGAGGAGGGGCCGGGCAGCGCTGAGGAGAGGCCGGGCGGCGCTAGGAAGGGGCCGGGCGGCACTAGGAGGAGGCCGAGCGGCACTAGGAGGCCAGGCAGGCGAGCGCTAACAGCAGGCGCGACAGGGGCCAGCGGGCGCGACGAGGCCTAAGGGGCGCGACGGGGCCCAGCGGGCACGACGGGGCCCAGGGGGGGCGCGACGGGGCCGAGGAGGCGCGACGGGGACCAGCGGGCACGACGGGGCCCAGGGGGGCCGCGACGGGGCCTAACGGGCGCGACGGGGCCCAGGGGGGGCGCGACGGGGCCTAGCAGGCGCGACGGGGCCTAGGAAGCGCGAAGGGGCCCAGCGGGCGCGACGGGGCCTAGGAGGCGCGACAGGGCCCAGCGGGCGCGACGGTGCCCAGAGGGGGAGCGACGGGGCCTAGGAGGCGCGACGGGGCCCAGCGGGTACGACAGGGCCTAGGAGGGGCGCGACGGGGCCGAACGGGCGCGACGGGGCCCAGAGGGGGGGGGACGCGACGGGGCTTAGGAGGCGCGACGATGCCTAGGAGGCACGACGGGGCTCAGCGGGCTCGACGGGGCCCATGGGGGGCGCGACGGGGCCTAGGAGGCGCAACGGGGCCCAGCGGGGGCGCGTTAGGGCCTAGGGGTCGCGACGGGGCCCAGCGGGCGCGACGGGGCCCAGGGGGAGCGCGACGGGGCCTAGGAGGCGCGACGGGGCCCAGCGGGCACGACGGGGCCCAGGGGGGGCGCGACGGGGCCTAACGAGCGCGACGGGGCCCAGGGGGGGCGCGACGGGGCCTAGGGGGCGCGACGGGCGGAAGCGGTAGGCGGGGGGATCCTAACCTAAGCGTGATACCATGTTAACGTAGAAACGAATGATTACTAGAGGTGGAAACCTAGAACAAATACTAGTTGGTTGTACTCACTAGAAGCATACCTCAGTCTAGCCTATAACTTCTACATAGATAATATGTATAAGTTGACATTCTCTTCTTCTCTTCATTTCTGTACCCATTCATTTTTGCCAGAATATGCATTCCCACGTTCATACCGCCACAACTGCTTCCCATTTCAGGCAGCGATAGCACTGCCTCTGACCTGCACTGCCTCTCACCTGCACTGCCTCTCACCTGCACTGCACTGCCTCTCACCTGCACTGCCTCTGACCTGGGCCGTGGCCCATGCAGACTCGAGACAGTCAATTCTACCATGCCAAGTGCAATAGACTTGTGCTGCCCGCTGTGCTGATGGCATGAGGGCACGCAAGGGGGAGTGGCTCTGAAGCTTGTAATGCCGGGTCTCCCCCTTATCGACTTAGCTAGAGCTGCTGCCAGCTTTATTGGGAGGTCGTGACTCGTGAGTACGATTCGCAACATCACCGATACCGTACTGTGTGTCATGGTTTTTGGGGAGCTCAAGGGACTGCAGAAGTTGCAGGTGGTGAGAAATCAATCTGCAGCGCAGCTTGGCCGGCGGGATTAACATGAAGTGAGCTCAACTATGTGCACCAGCGTTGCAGGGGGGCGAGACATCAAGCGCCAGCGCGGCACTGCCCAAGGGGCTATGCCTTGTGGGTCTCTGTGTAGCTCTCGGCGTTGTAGAAGTAATGGCTGTCAGCGGGACAATGGGGACGAGGGAAAGGAGGTGGCAGAGAGGTACGTGAGGCACGCTGAGGTGGATGGGAACCACACCAAAGCTGGGAACTGGTATCAGCTGAACCGGTATCAACTGAACCGGTATCAACTGAACCGGTATCAACTGAACCGGTATCAACTGAACCGGTATCAACTGAACCGGTATCAGAGCGGAAACAGATAGCGCAAACGACATGGCAAAAGGAAGGCACAGGGCAGTGACAGAGTGAGAGTGAGCCACCTCATGTGAGAGTGAGAGGTTGAGGGATCACTCCCAGCCACCGTCTCTCGGTTGCACCCCCCTAACCGAGCGTGAAAGCTGTTCACTGGTCCACTCGCCTCGCGCCCTCCCCGCGGGCAAAAGCAGTGCCAACAACGGTTCCTTGACATCATGCCAGCCCACATGGTTTCCCCCCCAGCACTCACGTCATGTAGGCGCCGTGAGCGAACGCCGTGGCCAGGGCGCCCACGAAGAGCCGGTTCCTCAGCTTGGGCTGGTGGCGGAACGAGATGCGGACTGGAAGGGGGGGGGGGGGGGGGGGGGGGGACGGTGGGATGGATCGGGACAGCGCGAGTGAAAGATGGGGCGGATTTATGGTGTGAGAACGGATGGGGATACTTGAAAGTGGAAAATCAAACGGTACTGAGTGGTACGAGCGTTGCATAGAGGAGGGGCGAGAGGGAATAATACCGACGGGCACAGATGTAAGAGGGGGGCATAGATGTAAGAGGCATAGAGGTATGGAGATCGGTACTGAGCGGTAGCAGCGGCGCGTAGACGAGGGTGGAGAGCAGCCAGAAGTTGGGCGGCTTGGAGAAGCGGCGGGCGGGGCGAATGGCCTCGCCTCTGGTGGGCGGGTGACGAGGGGGGGAGGGAGGAATGGGGGGACACCGTTGGATGGATCGGTCTTAGACAATGGACGGTTCATATGTGTTGCTTTCGGACGACTGAATGGCGGGTCAAATCCCGAAGCCTTCTAAAAGACGACCTGCCAGTTGTCAGCCGATAATGGGTCAACTGTCGGTTAAACGGCCGTTGGGCGTCAGCCAAGCGTCAGTCAAATGCGGGTGAGCCGTCTACACGGCGCTATGGGTCCGGACGAGCGACTCACTGGCGCGAGTCGGCTGCAGCGACGGAGGCGGGCGGATCGCCGGTAGCAGAGGCCTGCCGCGCATCGGCCATCAAGCCGCTTAGGACTCAGATCCACCTATCAGGTCTGCCTATCAGATCCGCCTGTGAGATCCGCCTGTGAGATCTGCCTGTGAGATCCGCCTGTGAGATGCGCCTGTGAGATCCGCCTGTTTGATCCGCCTATCTTCTCTGCCGTGCCGCACGAATTGGCTCTTCGCTGGCTCGAGAGGCGAGTCAGTGGGCTGTCCGCTGGGCTAGCCAGATGTTGTCGAACTGGGAACAGCTTTAACAACAATTCCCTGTGTGAGCTTCAGGGAAAGCCGAAGTGAGTGTGAGCGCTTAGCGCGTATGTCCACGGTTTGCTTCGCAATCAGTTTGCTCAAATGTTACCACCATTGAAGGTGACACGCTGTTAGTTGAATGTAAGGAATTAGGAATTCCTTACTGAGGCTTGCTACAGGGCGTACGACTCGAACAGTCCCGAACCATCGCCAGGGTTCCAGACCTATCAGTTCGAGCCTCCTGGGCCTTTCCGGACCTCGCTACGACACATCGAGACCCTTCGATACTTTTCCCGAACCTTCCGATCCTACGGCCAGGATCACCCTAGGCTTGCTATATATTGTGTGTTCTTTCATTTTATTGTCATTCACTCGTTCATAGTTTCGCCATTGCCCTGCGCGCTACTCAGCAGTCCCATTCATAACACTTGGTATTCAGAGCCACTTTCCTCACCCGCTGGGCTTCTGAGGGCAATTTCTTTTTTGGAGGGGGAGAAAGCGGATGGCGCTACAGTAGGCACAGCGGTTGTCCTGAAGCATGATATGATATGCTTCAAACAACTACGTCTGCGTGGGTTTCTAACGACCGTCGATCCGACCCGAAGGGACGATCAGGATTTGCTCGGCCATCCCCTCGAGGGCGGTTGTGTCCGTCCTGACATGGCGAAGATTTTGAAGAGTGTTTCCGGTATGTTGTGTATTTCGCATATCGTTAAAAGGGGTTTCGGTTGCAGTTTCGGCAATTTCGGCAAGCAGCAACGACGATTCGGATTGGTGTCCGAATGAAGCGAGGAGCTCGTCACGAGACGACAAGCTCGCGGATATCCCTAGGCGAAATGGGTTTCGTCAGGAGCGTGCGTAGCAGACGTGGCTGCATGGTGAAGTGTAGCTGACGTTACGAGGCTCGGCGTTTCCGGCAGGCGACACGCATGTGAAGACGGGACTTCGGATACTGTTCAGCAAACGCGACGTTGGAGTTTTCGGCACGACCAAGGATCGCACGGCAGCACACGTGGGGCTCAGGCAGGGAAAAGTTTCGGGGAGTACTGACCTCGAAATTTATTCGCGTGACCTGCCCGCCTGGAGGTGTAATTCGTCTGCCCTGGAGTTTCGAGCTTGGCGAGTCTAGATTCCTGCAGAGGAAGCCATTTTCGTGGTCAGAAATTATGCCCCACGATCTACGGAGGATGACCAGCAACTACCCTCGGGTCAAGTTTAAGTGTCATCGCCGGGTCACCGCTAAAAGTCAACGACGAAGAGCTGTAGCAGAGAAGGAGAACGACTGGGTAACAGCCGGGAAAAAAACAAGAGTCAGCGGCAAACGGATGCCCCCGACTGACTTGGCTGGGTCGCCCGATTTTCAGCATCTCGACCGGGTGGTAGTACGATACATGCTATCAACCGCTCCCGGACGAATAAAGGAGCATTGGCTTGCGGATCACCCTGTGCTAGTGGATAAATGAAGAAACATTTTCGGCGCTACACGACAGGCGAACGATTGGTGAAAATCGAACGCTGTACAGTAGGAGGCGCGTGAAGCAGGTTGACGAAAATTACGAAGGAGCTTTGCGATGGAGATCGGACGGTACGCGGAGCTCCAGTCCGCTACGAACGGCGATGATGTGTCGCCGAGATCGACGGAACTTTTCGAAAGAACGTGCGCGGTACTGTTTGGCGAATGACGAACGTGAGCGTTGGGTGAACAGCGGCCTACGAGGGTTTTACTCTAGAAGCAGCAGTTGAAGAAATTTGCAGCAGTTGGAGCAGATTTTTGCAGAGATGGAATTTTTCAGGGAGGGGAAGGAGGATCCCTTACGTAAGCTGCAAAGCGGTTGCCCGCGAATTTGACTGATAAATTCGCCCAACTATGATAGCGTTTGCGCTTACTTGAGTACGGGCACACAGTGGATTCACCCCTGCTCTTGAGTGTAGTCATCAAATGGAGCTTCAGGACGACAAGGGTTACTGTTGCAGTGGGAAAAACGTGTTGTCGTCACAGAAAATTTGGAGTCACGCGGGAGTCTTCACGGATTATCCCTGAGTTGCGGGGCTATAATCGAAGGTTCGGCTGCGAGGACTCATTCGGGGATTTACCTGGACGGGCGCAAAGATGGGTGAACGTCGGCGCGTCGCTAAACGTCGGGTTATTTTCGAGTGGGAATTCTTCAAGTTTTCGACTGGAGCGGTAGCTAGAGTCACGGGTACCTACCGAGCTGTGCGATAGTTAGAATACCAGCATGGTGAGTCGGTGAAACAGCAGAGAATGCGTTTTTTGTAGCTGAGAACTGTACCTACGTTTTTCTGGGGTACCTGCCGTAGCCGCGCGATGGGTGAACGTCTGCACGGTGAACCGGTCAGGTGGAGTTGTTAAAATTTCTATTGAGGGTGACAGCACGAAGCAGATCAACTGCATTCTGCGGAGCAGCATATTGATCTACGGCGTCGGATGGAGCTAGAGTCTACGTGGCGCAGCAGCCCTGCGTTATAGGGTCGCGCTGAGACCGGTCCCGACGAGCAGAGTTTGAAGATACTTTAAGTTTCGGGTCTGAAGAAACTTGAAGCGGGGAATTTTCGGCATCGACGACAGAGATTTTCTTTTCATGGAGGGGGGAGAGAACAGCTGCGCAGCAGTTGTTATTTGGAGTTTCCCTTGACAAGTTGACATCCGCTGCATGAGCATCGACAGACAGATGCTGTTTGACCGACTGAATCGATGGACAGATTCCAGTTGGTTGTTCGGGAATTTCGTTGGAGTTCGCGAAAGTTGAAGGCGTGTTTGGATAAACCGCCTAAGACGACATCGAGTACGGTTACTGGACTGGTTAAGAGTTTGTACATGTGCTGATGGAATTCACTGACTTTCGTGAGACACGGACGCGTGTTCTCGCATGTGTCGCGAACGACCTCGCATTTGACGAATTGCTGGAGTTCGTTGACTTTGCGAAATACGAACGCGTGTTTCTGCGAGTGTCACGACTTACGTGGAATTAAAGTAGGAGCAATCTACAGTGACGGAGATACGGACAAGGTTGGCGCAGGCAGAAGATTCGGCTCGCCAACTTGCAGCAGTGTGAATATCGCAGTGTTTCTGTGCGGATACAGTACACGACGATTGGGTTTGTAATTCTCGGCGAAGATTCGCTGGAGACAAGGAAGCTGTGGAGCGGTAGTATCCCTACTGCCCGTTTGGTTATCTGGGTAATTCGACCAAGGTTCGACGGCTACGATCGACGGTGATCGTTTCGACACGTTTCGACTGTTGGATGGAGTTTCCTTGAAGAAGCTCGAGACTCTCAATAGTGGTTGTTTCACTACTACGAGATTCAGTTCGAGTGTGTGTAGTTTTGTTTATTTGTTTGCTTATCTAGAAGGGGGGAGAGTGTAAGGAATTAGGAATTCCTTACTGAGGCTTGCTACAGGGCGTACGACTCGAACAGTCCCGAACCATCGCCAGGGTTCCAGACCTATCAGTTTGAGCCTCCTGGGCCTTTCCGGACCTCGCTACGACACATCGAGGCCATTCGATACTTTTCCCGAACCTTCCGATCCTACGGCCAGGATCACCCTAGGCTTGCTATATATTGTGTGTTCTTTCATTTTATTGTCATTCACTCGTTCGTAGTTTTGCCATTGCCCTGCGCGCTACTCAGCAGTCCCATTCATAACATCGAATGTGAGCCAAAACGAACTGAGTACACTAAACAATCTATATATTCGTAAAGATATTGAAGGCGATAATTGCTTTCTCCCACCGAAAGCTCTCCAACGGACACGTGCTGTTCGCGTCTGGCACATAGCCCTGTTTCCGCACCACTGGGATGACCGCAGTTACAGGAATCCCACTCTGGCATGCCGCCACTACACGGCGGCACGCCAAGTCAGCAGGTTTGTCCTGCCTTCCGCCGAGTCGTTCTCCGCAGAGAGCTGCCAGGTGTGCGCCGTCAAGTCGCCGAGGCTCCTTGGCTTGCTCTGCGGACCGCCACGCGAAGGACGACTTTACTGCGATGAAAGCCGAGACAATATGGGCGAGTCGGCGTGGAGTGGGATGGCGGGCAGCAGCGCACGTCGGAGCAGGCAAGGCGCATGGCCCGAGTGCAACGCCTCGCATCGTCCGATGCTGCCGTCAGCCATGTCCTTCCACGTCGCTCGCTCGCCTCGCAAACTGACGAGTGGCGCTGCGGGGCGGCCTCGAGCGCGCCTTGCTGTGGAGCCCGCCGCGCCGCGCCGGCTGCTGCCACGCGGGATTCCGGCGCGCTCCTCGCACCCGGACTCGCCTCTCGGGCTCGGCGCGCTGGGCAGAGCAGAGAGGCGCAAGTGCGCTGGGTGCAGGCTGTTGAGAGCCCCTCGATGCGACCTTGACGGCATGCATCTCCCACCATAGCGGCTCTTTGCACGCATTCCGCCTCACGCGGCCGAACGTTACGGCGTGATTCCCGCGATGCCGCTCAGACGACTCACCGTAGAATTTCTCCCTATCGGCTTGAAATTTCCGCAGCGTATCGCAGTCTCTGCTCCACCACGCGGCGAGACTTGCATCGTGATAACGTCTCGCGATCCCTCCACCACCTCCCTCCACCGCCTCCCTCCACTGCCTCCCTCCGCCGCCTCCCTCTACCGCCTCCCTCCGCCGCCTCCCTCTGCCGCCTCCCTCTGCCGCCTCCCTCCGCCGCGTCCCTCTGCCGCCTCCCTCCGCCGCCTCCCTCCGCCGCCTCCCTCTGCCGCCTCCCTCCACCGCCTCTCTCCTCCTGAGCCTCCTCTTGTCCCGACATGGCTGCCGTGCCACCCAGGGCGCTCGACCCGGCGAAGGTGCTTCGTGAGGGGCTGACGAGAGGGGACGTCGGTCCTGGCGGGCTGGCAGCACACGAAGGGGTGGAAGCGCTGCTCTCAGCAGCTCGCATGCGCCAGGCGGCGGGCGCCGTGACAGTGGCGGAACTTCCGGGGCTGCCGGGGCGGACGGCGGCGGTGCGTGCAGCGTATGGGGCGAGCAGCACTGATGGCGCTGCCGCCAACACTCCCGCCGCGCCACCCTCGGAAGTGACGGCAGCCTCGGAGGGCGCAGCAGCGCGTGCGCTGGACGCGGAGGAGTTCTGCACGCAGGGGCAGCGCATGGTGGAGTTCATCGTGCAGTACCTGGAGCACGTGGAGGACATACCCGTGCGCAGCACCGTGCAGGTGCGCTTTGAGGCGCGGGAGGCGCTTCACCAGTGGCATTGGCATCACGGTAGCAGCGTCGAAGGGAGGTTACCAGTGTGCAGGGGCACCGTATGGTGGAAATCATCGCTGGGTACGTGGGGAGTGTGGAGGCGAGGCCCGTGCGCAGCCACGCGCAGGTGCGGGGGATGGGACTGGCACGTAGGGCGCTGTGAGCATCACAGTAGCAACAGCGCATGGGAGTTGCTGGAGAGCAGGGGCAGGCAGCGCATGGTGGTGGGCCGGCCAGTGCTGAGTGCACCCAAGGAAGGTGGAGGACATGCCCGTGCGCAGTGGTGCGCATTGGTGCACCACGCTCCTGCTCGCTCTTGCACCCGCTGTTGTCGCCCTGCTTCACACTACTCTAACGTTCCTTTCTTGACTGAACCATAGTGCCCGTGCTGCGCCATGCTGTGTTGTGCCGTGTTGTGCTGTGTATGCTGGGCTTGGCTGCCCCCTTCCACCCGCTGGCAGTTCGGCTATCTGCGCCATCTGCTGCCGCCCTTTGCGCCCGAATAAGGCGAGCCACTGGAAGCCATCCTTGCAGGTCAGGCCCCCTCGCCGCCCATCCATGTCACCGCACAGCACCTCTGTGTTTCCCGCTCTCAACTGGGTTGAATGAGCCTCGCACGGGCCAGCCTGTGCTCCCCTTCACCACCACCGCCTCTTGCAACTTCCTCACTCCTCATCCCCTCCCACCCCTCCCACCCCTCCCACCCCTCCCACCCCTCCCACCCCCCCACCCCCTCACTACCTCTCGGCCCCCTCGCAGCCATTGCTGTGGCCATCCCGCCCGAGCTTGCCCACGGGCAGAGCCCCTTCCTCTTCTCCGAGGTGTCTTACAGCCCCCTGCTCCTGCATCTCGGTACTCCTTTCCCCCAGCAGACATCTCTTCCGCCATTCTGCCCGGCTTTACCCACGGCAGGGCCCCTCCTTCGAAGATCCTTAAACGGCCCCATCTCCCTCCCTTCACCCCTACCCCCAACAGACATCTCATCTGCCATCCTGCCCGGGCTGACCCACTGGCAAAGCCCGTCCTTTTTCGCCTTCTTCTCCTCCACCACCAGCACTGCCTCCATCTGCGTCAATGCTCGCATTAGCGCCCTCACCCCGCCCTTCTCCCCTACTCTGTCCGGTGACCCCTGGGCAGACATTTCCACAGCAATAGTCCCCGGGCTGACCCACTGGCAGAGCCCGGCCTTCTTCGCCTTCTTCTGCTCGCCCACCAGCGCCGCCTCTATCTGCGCCCACGCCCTCATCAGCGCGCTCAACGTCGTCGGCTTCTCGTGGATCGCTGCTCCTGCCGCTACCGAGCTTGAGACGCTTGTGCTGGACTGGCTGGCGACCCTGCTGGGGCTGCCGGACGGCTTCCATTCTGTTAAGTCAGGTGGGTCTTGTGGATACCAGGGATAGTGTTTGGGCCGCTGCTGCTGCCGCCACGGAGCTGGAGACTTTGGTGCTGGACTGGCTGGCCTGCTGGGGCTGCCCACCGGCTTCCCCTCAAGCAAGTCAGATGAAGTGGGTGGTGGTAGGTGAGACTCCACTGTGCTCGAGGCGCTCGTGCAGGACTGGCTGGCGGCTCTGCTACAGCTGCCTGATGGCTTCCACTCCGCCAGGTCAGGTGAGGTGGTGCCGGGTGGGGTGGCAGTCAGCTTTTCCTGGATCGCCGCCCCCGCTGCGATGGAGTTGGAATGGCTGGTGGACGTGCTACAGCTCCCTGACGCCTTTCATTCCGCTGAGACGGGCGAGGGCGAGTAAGGTAGTGGCGTGAATGCAGTGGGTGGCGGTCAGATGACGCTGGTACTGCATCCTGTGCTGCCGCTGAGGTCCACGCCCTGCTTATGTCACGACCACTGCCTACCTCGCCTGCTGTGCTCGCCTGATGCGTCGCCTGCTGCGCTCGTTGGACGAATTCAATGCTTATGAACGTGGCAGGCTGCAGTTGCCGGGCTGTGGTGCTGTGGTGGTGGTAATATAATGATGATGCAATAATGGCCATACCTAATGGGTTGGTTGGTACAATGACAGGCTGCATTCGTTATCGGAATTAGCCATGGGGCAAGGGGCATGGGGCATGGGGCATGGGGTATGTGGCATGGGGCATGTGGCATGTGGCATGAGGCATGTGGCATGTGGCATGTGGCACGTGGTATGGGGCATGTGGCATGTGACATGGGGCATGCGGTGGGTAGCATGTGGCATGTGGCATGGGGCATGTGGCATGTGGCGTGTGGCATGTGGCATGGGGCATGTGGCATGTGGCATGCGGCATGCGGCATGTGCACTGCACGGTCTCAGGGGTACCTCTCTCTCTATCGCATGTGTTGCTGCCATGGCAGGTGGCAATGGAGGAGGGGTGATTTACGCCACGGCCAGTGAGGCGGGGCTGGTGGCGCTGCTGGCGGCCAGGAGGTGGGCGCTGGACTGCGTGGCAGGGGAGGGGGGGCTTGCAGCTCGCCTTAGCGAGGCAGAGAGCAGGCTATTATCGAGTACCGTGGAGGCTTGGGATGGCAGGCAGGGTGGCCATGGGAGAAGGGCGAGGAGCAAGGAAGGGCGGTTGATGGTTGGGGCTGGGCCTCCTGTGATTTACGCCGCTGCCGGTGCTGCTCCTGCAAGCAGTGCGGCAGGTGCCTCTGCAGTCGGCACAGCTGAGAGGGGTGAGTCTGCCAGCAGCGGTGTCCATTTCCCGTGGCTCAGTGCATGGAGCGTGGCACGGCTGTGGCTGGTGGCGTACGTGTCAGACCAGACCCATGCATGTGTGCACAAGGCGTGCCTCACTGCCGGCCTACCGGAGGGCAACGTGCGTGTGCTGCCCATCACGGCCGCCTCCGCGTATGCCATCACGCCTGAGGTGCTGCTGGGGGCGATGGAGAGGGACGAGGCTGCTGGGCTGATCCCCTTCTTCCTCACCCTCACTGTGAGCGCTCTCTCCCTCTCAATTGCCACAATCATCCCTGTTCGATTCGAGCCTTCCCCTTATTCCCCTTCCTCACCCACATGTCAAGCAACCCTATTGCCATGGTGGTTAACCCATCGTGACAGTGTTCCAGCACATGCCTCCTCTTGCCATCCGCATTCTTTGGAACGGGCACCCACCGAGTGTTTACCACCCAGTGGCCTGCCCTGGCCCTCATGCACTGCCCTGGCCCCCATGCACTGCCCTAGCCCCCACGCACTGCCTCCGGTCCTCCTTCATCCGGAGTGCAAGTGCGTTCCGGCTTTATTATGATGTGCTTCTCACCTGCTCCTATGCCACGTCATGCCAGGTTGGCACCACGTCATCCACCACTTTTGATCCAATCGCCCCTCTGGCTGCCATCGCCAAGGTGAGCACTGCAATGCACTTTTGCCATACCATGTGCCTTGCCATACCATGTGCCTTGCCAAACCCTGCCGTGCCATGCCACGTCATGCCATAGCATGCCATGCCACGCTGTGCATGTGGTGCATTTCAAGCTTGCTTGGAACGTTCTTTGGGCCTCCGCGCCCACTTGGGTGCATATGGCATGTGGGGCGCCTCGAGAAGTTTCCTCACTTGTTCCTCCCAACCCTCCCAGGCGCATGGCATGTGGGTGCATGTGGACGCGGCATATGCGGGCATGGCGTGCATGTGCCCTGAGATGCGGTACCATCTGGATGGCGTGCATCTGGTGGACTCGCTAGCGTCCAACGCACACAAGTGGCTGCTCACCAGCTTCGACTGCTGCTGCTTCTGGACCCAGGTGGGATGGATAAGCGCAGGTGGGATGGATGGGCGCAGGCAGGATGGATGGGCGCAGGCGGGATGGATGGGCGCAGGCGGGATGGATGGGCGCATGTGGGATGGATGGGCGCATGTAGCACATTGATGCGGGTGCTGTAAGGATGGCTGTACGCAGGGGATGACCTGTTGCTGTCACTCTTTTGCTGGAATGGAGATCGTGCAACAAGTGGTGTGACCCAACCCTATTGATGCCATCCTCGTTGTGCTCGCTGCATGCACCGCCATGCGCCATGCCTCACCATGTGCCATGCCTCCCCATGCGCCATGCCTCCCCATGCGCCATGCCTCCCCATGCGCCATGCCTCCCCGTGCTCCATGCCTCCCCGTATGCCATGCCCCTGTGAATGCATTCCCCCATGAGGACAACAGGCCTCTGGTGGAGGCACTCTTGACTCCGCCGGAGTATTTGTGGAACAAGGTGGGCTGTAGATGCAGTACATTAAGCTACGCTACTATCGTGTGTGCTGCTATTGCAGGATGCTTATATCGTAATTCGCTGTTATCACCGATGCCGGTAATGAGTATGCGTGGGTTAACTGCAGGAACTGGCAGATCCCCATCGGCCTGCTGCCTCTCTCTCTCCTCTTCTTTTGCCCCCTCACCATCTCTCCCCTCCTCCCCCGCTGTCTCTCGCTCCCTCTTTCCCTCTCATTCTCACCGCAGCCATTGGAGGCGCACCAGGTGGTGGACTACAAGGACTGGGAGATCCCCATCGGCCGCCGCTTCAGGTGTGCCCCACTTAGCCGCTTCAGCCGCGCACAAACGGGCTATCTGCACCCAAACAGGCTATCTGCACCCAAACGGGCTATCTGCACCCAAACGGGCTATCTGCACCCTCTCGCACTCACGGGTCATATGGGTCATGTGGACCCAGTCGAAATGTCCCACATGTCATGATGCCATTTTTTCGTACATCCATGTGATGCCACATGTCATGCCAATTTATCCCTCGCGTCGTTGCCATCCCCGTCCCCATCCCCATCCCCATCCCCATCCCCATCCCCATCCCCATCCCCATCCCTGCCACATCCGCATCCCCACCTCCATGCGGCGTGCCACCCACCCCTCCTGGGCAGGTCGCTCAAGCTGTGGATGGTTCTGCGGTCATACGGGGCGGAGGGCATTCGAGTGTACGTCAGGCGCCACATGGCGCTTGCTCAGTGGTTTGAGGAGGCCGTGCGGCAAGATGAGCTCTTTCAAGTGAGTGTGGGCTGCAAGTGCACCTCCAAGTGAGTGTGGCTGCAAGTGCACCTCCAAGTGAGTGTGGGCTGCAAGTGCACCTCCAAGTGAGCTTCGCCGCATCGACCAACTCCCTGGCTCCCCCCCAGCCTTCAACCCATCCCGCCTCCATGCACCCTAGCGCCAATTCCCCGAATCCCCAACCACGCCATCTCTTGCCCAGCCTGCCTATTCACCCCTCGTGGCTGTGTGGCATCCCACCTCACACACCGTCACACACCCGTCTCACATACCCTCTCAGATATCCTCTCCCTCACCCCATCTCTCTTACATCACAACTACATCAGAATGGCACCCCCTGCTGCCCTCCCCCCCACCTCCCCTCTCCTTCCCCCCCCCCCATGCCCCAGCGGATGGTCCCGCGCCCCTTTGCCCTCGTGTGCTTCCGTTTCAAGCCGCCGCCAGCAAGCAGTGAGGTGGGGGGTGGAGAGGCAGGCGAAGGGGCGGTGGGAGATGGCGGGGCAAAGGATGGGGGGGAGGGAGCTGAACGCCACGCTGCTGGAGGCAATCAACAGCAGCGGCAAGGCCTACCTCACACACACTGTGAGTGCTGCAGCACACTGCTACGGTACACTTGTCATTTGCACACCTCAACCTCACCACTGCCGCCCTTAACCCCCATGAAGGTGCTATCAGGGCAGTACGTGCTGCGCATGGCCATAGGGGCGGTGACGACAGAGATGAGGCACGTGCAGGCCGCATGGGAGCTTATCCAAATGGAAGCTTCCAGGCTGCTGCAGGAGGTCGACTCCTACTCAAAATAAGATTTGATAAATGCATCTGGAGGATGAGCAGATCGCATTGGTGAACCAGCATACTGTAGAAGGAAAGTAGTATATGAATGCCTATTGTATGTACCATAATCCCCCCGACATATGCATGTATGCCCAGAATGAAGCCCATGCCTTGTGTTAGAAAGCTGTTGCTACTACAACAAATGGTGCTACATTATCAGTGAAAGAATTTGAAAGGTGGTGCTCGACTTGCAGGAGACTAACTATAGAATCTGCTTGAGTCAAGCCTTGGGTATAGTAGTATCTCTACTACTCGATAGTATTTGTAAGGATCGTAATTCTGGAATGGTAGACTAGTAGGACAGCGGAAGTCTTATAAGAGTGAACCCGAGCACATGAACTTGTGGGTAGTCGAAGGATGAATCACCTGAGCACATAATTCTGTGGAAAGTCAAGGTTGAAAATAGAAAGGCATTACAACGATTTATAGCTCTAGAGAAAGTACCTGTTCGGCTAGTCGCGCGCTATGCGACCTATTCGTCATACTATAGGGTCGCGACTGTTCGCGTGACTGAAACGACTCGTTACGCCTAATCGAGCAACTGAAGCGGTATGATGACGTCATCCCCGATACCCGCGATGCTTTGCTGACATCAGCACTCCGGCATGGTTGCTTACTGAGAAACTCGATACTGCTAGCTACTGTTAAAATTATATAAGTTATAATTTAATATAGGCTTGGTAGGTTGTTACTGAACCTTTCTGTAGGGGGTACAAACCCCTCCTTGTACTCCCCTCTCTTCCTAATCCAACTCCCTTTCTTCTCGACATCCTCTCACCTCCTAGATCCGTTTTTCCTCACGCCATTTCATGGCAGTCTTCTTCCTAGTATCCTAGCCAACCTAGCCTCCTAAGTTTAAGAACCTTTAGTCCTAAGTTTCTAAGATGGTATCAGAGCAGGAGATCCTCCCTGTTGGATCGCCTCCTCACGCTTCCGCAATTTACTCCTCGCTCTCATTAGCTCGAGCGGCCATGGCGGCCGCGTTTTGCTGCAGTGGCGACGTCGCGCTGCCACTGGCCGCGTCGTGCCGCGACCGGCTCGACGCGCTGCCGTGGCGTCGGGCCGTCGTTCTGCAGTCGCAGCGTCGACGTCCCGCTGCGGCATCGACGCTGCCTCTGCCGTCGCGACGTCGACGTCCTGCTGCAGCGTCGACGGCGCCGTCGGGCCGCAGCCGGTTGCGTCGACGCTTTGCCGTGGCAGCGTCACCTTGCTGCCGTTGCAGCGTCGGCGTGCCGCCACAGCGTCGACGCCGCGCCCTGGCGGCGTCGTCATGCTGCCGCGGCAGCGTGGATGGGCGGCAGCGGGCAGCACGCCGTCGTAACCGCCACCTGCCCGCCCTCCTGCCAGTAAGCGCCGCGCCACTTATGGCGCGTCGCTGAAGACTCGCCTCGCCCCGCCCCCTCCCCTCCCCCCCCCCACCTGCACCTGCTTCCCCTGCATCCCCCCCTTTCTTGCTGCAGCCGATGACTGCCATGTGAGGGACCTCTCCACCGCCGAGGAGACAGGACATGCCGCCGAGAGGGCGGGGGCCGCCGCACCAGCCTCTGTCGTTCGAGCCACCGGCGCCGCCGCTGTTGCCGCAGGCCTGGAGCCGCCGCACACCGCCGCCGCCGCCGCCGTCGTCACTGTCGCTGCTGCCGCCATTGCCGTCTCAAGGGGCCGTGAGACCTACCCTCTTCCGGAGTCGTTGCGGCTCCTGCTGGGAATGGGGGTGCTGGGCTAGGGGGTGTGGGTGTGGGTGTGGGTGTGGGTGTGGGGGTGTGCGTGGGCTTGACACTACCAAGCCTAGGGGGTGTGTTAAAATTATATAAGTTATAATTTAATATAGGCTTGGTAGGTTGTTACTGAACCTTTCTGTAGGGGGTACAAACCCCTCCTTGTACTCCCCTCTCTTCCTAATCCAACTCCCTTTCTTCTCGACATCCTCTCACCTCCTAGATCCGTTTTTCCTCACGCCATTTCATGGCGGTCTTCTTCCTAGTATCCTAGCCAACCTAGCCTCCTAATTTTAAGAACCTTTAGTCCTAAGTTTCTAAGAGCTACACCAAAAACGGAACTTGCAGGAATGCAAAACTTCATATATCACAACAATCAGCACTGGTACAAAGAGAAGCAAAACTAATATTAGCGCAGTTCACCAAGAGGCGCCATGCATAGTCTGCTTCTTCAGATTGCTCTGCATCCCCATCCTCTCCGCCCCTCTTTGAAGAACGCTTTCCTTCCCATCATCCGTCCTTCCCATCATCCTTCCAGCTGCATGCTGTCAATCAATCCCTCCACCTCATCATTCAACCTCTACGCTCTCCTCCACCATCTCCTCCTCCCCACTCTCATCCTCCTCACTCATCCTCCTCACTCATCCTCCTCACTTTCCTCCTCCCCTCTCCCATCTTCCCCTCTCTCATCATCCCCTCTCTCATCCTCCCCTCTCTCATCCTCCCCTCTCTCATCCTTCCCTCTCATCATCCCCTCTCACATCCTCCCCTTTCTTATTCTCCCTTCTCTCATCGTCCCCTCTCTCATCCACCCCTTTCTCATCCTCCCCTCTCTCATCCTCCCCTCTCATCCTCCCCTCTCTCATCCTCCCCTCTCTCATCCTCCCCTCTCTCTTCCTACCCACCTTTCTCTTCACCCTCCTTCCCCAGATTGATTTCTCCGCTCCACTCGGCACGCTTATCCACAAGGCGACGGGCGTCCTCTGGCAAGTGCGTGAGACCAGGGAAGCTATGAATGGCAAGGCAGTGGAGGGAAGGGCAGTGAGCAAGGCTGGCGGGAAGCTCCTCCTTCAGCGCGCGCGGCGCTGCTCCTTCAGCGAGCTGCACCAAGGTTTGGGGCAGCCCGCGGAGCGAAGCCATCTAGCTTTGACCGATTGACCTCAGGGGACTCTTGAGAAATTCCAACTGCTATTGACCCAAGTATTCTAGTGCAGACAGGTGTTTCATGGTTACCGGCACAGCAAAGCCGTGGCTGGAACCATAAAATTTAAGGCAACGAAGAAGAGAGAGTTGGGGGAGATAGGAGGGCAGGCGACTGAATTCTATAGAATCCAGATCCAGCGATTCCAGATAGCTCAAATCCCCCAAGTGTGCAGGCAGTGGCACGGAGCATTGGGCAATGGGAAACTTGTTATTATCACAATAGGCTCAGATGTGCCTAAAATGAGAGAAATTGTGCACAGTCAGAATTCCGTCAGACAGCTTCAAATGTTGATGCCGATCTGATATGTGCCTCAACCGGTGATCTGTAAATTGGATCTGAAGCGCGTTGTTGTCGCCTATCAGCAGCAAGTTGAATCATAAAATTCCATGAAGATTTGACGACGCTATGGTGGTTTGACTGGCAGGAGGTACAGCAACCACTATAGTCTTAGGAGTACAAAAACTTAGGAAGAAGAATTCGAGATGGAGATGGTTCCCAGCCTCTACATACCCCAAGAGCCGAGGTCCAGGTTGGTGGTACACCACCACAGAGTCTGTAACCATGAAGAGTCTCGAAACAAACCCTCCAAGGGGCTACACCAAGTGAAATGTAACACTACACGAAGTAGCATTACTATTTTCACTATTTAATATTTATCCGTGTCCCTTGGGCTTGAAATCTTGAGCTCTTGGTCTTGGTTCTGCAAGATAAATTCTTCTTGAGATGATGGGGGCTTGCTGCACACACCTGCGATGCGATGGACACTTCACACTCGATAAAATAGAAAAAACACATGCGACGTGCAAACGACGACTTGACATGCGAGTTGTGAAAACTCGCTAATGTCTTGACCGACACAAACCACATTGTGATACACCATCCAAATACACACACAAGCACTAGATAGCAATGACATAGACTCACAATTCATTCTATGCCATGCATGCACACACACAAACAAGGACGACAAGCCGAGTGCAAGCCATAGGGTTGCACCAACAAAACTTGTGAGGGAGGAGAGCCTTGTGATGGACGCCGGGAGTCCCTCCAGCTCGGAGCAGAACCAGATGCCAAGATTGTGGAGGCTTCGCAGCTGCCCAATTTCCTAAGGCAGCCTGGCAAGGCCTGGCACAGCGAGCCGAAGTTTTCTTAGGAAGTGCATTGGCAGATGGAGTGAGGGAGGGAGGCAAGGTCTTGGCAGCCACGGGTCTCGAAGCTGGTTAACTGCAACAGGTGCCCGATTGAATCAGGTAATGATGACAAAATCTCGCACTCCATAAGCTCCAAATCCTGCATATTGCTGAGTTTGCCCAGGTTTTTGGGCAGGGAAGTGAGAGAAGGTGCCTGCAAGTAGAGGATTCTCAGAGAGTGAAGCATGCTGAACTCTTTTGGCAGGCAACGCAAGAGGTCTGCATTGATGTTGAGATGAACGAGCCCACTCATATTAGAACGGTTGCAGGATATGGGGTGATGGAAGCCAGGCAATCAAGATGCAGCAACCTCAACTGTGTACACACTTGGAATAGCCAGTCGAGCCGTGGGGGAAGCTCGTCGCCATCGTATTGAGACCCAGGCTCGCCGGAGTATAGTTGTAGCTGCTCAAGTTGGGGACATACATCCGCCATTTGTTCGATGATGACGTCCGTTAGAAAATCCAAAACACCAAAGTCGATCTCCAAATACGTAAGGCTTGGCATGTGTGCACGGATAAGTTGCGAGGCACAGAAACCCTGGTGACAGTAAAGGTTGATGGTCGTGATCGGCAGATACACGAGCCTGAGCCAACTGTGACATACGAGCTTGTGGGAGCCTCGTGAGGAAGAGGAGGAGGGAGAGGAGGATGCATAGGAGGTTGGTGGTGATGCCGGTGCAGAGTGCTGCTGGTCAGTTTTAGTATCGAACGAATCAGGCAAAGCTGGCGTGAGACATCGAAGGCCTTGACGAGTAGGTAATCAGAGCAAGAATCAAAGAGGCTGCGACTGGGAAGAGGATATCAACGGACGAAGGCTGTATTATTGTCAATACTACGAGGGGAAGCCATGATAGTGACTTGGTACTGTTCAGATGAAACCACCACATATGACTTCAGTACAGCTGGGGTCCACCATCAGCCCAGCCATTGGCCAGGCCCACCCCCCGATTGCCTACCAATAGCCCCGAGTTACAGGCAACGACCCATTCATCTGATGGTCTAATGGTTCGCGTGTTTGTTGACCAGAGAACAACACCTTACATGCAAAGGCACTCAAAGATTAGGCCCCCTTACATTCAATACAACAACCGCTTCTTAGCGTGTTGCACTACAGTATACTGTACCAGATACAGTTTTCTGTAGGGCATTCTCTTGGGACGTGCCTTTATGTATGTTAAAAATATTGACACCCGTTAGTTGTTGAAGAGTTACGCATGTTACCACTTCTGTCCACTTTATGTCCTGTTTGCCCGTAGCGAAGGCATGCAAACTACGTGCTCGCATTACTCCCACGCAGTTCGCTGAATTCATGGGGGTACAGTGGATACACGGTATAGGAGGAAGGGAGATGTCACCAAGTACGAATGTGAGGTTGTTGCGACCTGATGAGAGAGGCTAGTTTAGCTGAAAGAAAGTGGGGCGTAATGGCAATGGCCAGTGAGACGAGAAAGCTATAAAGTATGGGGGCATGCCATACAAGTTCAGTTCAGTGCGGTTTAGTGAGCTGCTTCGTGATTTGCAGGTTTTTGGTCAACATATGAAACGTGGGTCTTCCATGTAAAGTTGCGAAGAAAAGTCCAGCGAAGATGCGATGCGATCCAGGTGATGGCCGAGCAGAATCGAATTGAGGAGGCGGGGACAACTCTGGCGGGACTCCGCATTGCGCAAATACGAAGGGAATGATGGGGTGTACGCGCTCTACTGTACTCTCTGTCAAGAATCACAAAATTGTACCTCTGATCTCCTACTTAGGGCGTGGCACATACAGTGACGGAAAGTATTGTCCGCATGTTTAGCCTCTTTATGAATATAGGCCTATTACGGGCTCTTGTACATTAAGCCTTAATTTCTTGCCTCACCCACTGTATGTAGGGCACATAAGGCCACAAGCCCATGCTTTACATATCAAAAACCTACTATTGTTGAAAGGTAAAACAAGACATTTCCAAGCATGATACATCCAAAAAATCAGTTCCCGGCGCAGGCAACAACTTTTAAATCCCAAAACTAGTAGCTAGTCCACTGCCCTTTCACCTTAATCATCGCCTTCATCCTCCGAGGCATGCTGTCGATCAAGTTGGTGCACACCTTAGCCAGGATCTTCTCCCATTCCTCCTGGACCCGCTCCCACAGGTCCACCATACCAGTGGGAGGCCTCTTGTGCTTAGCCAGCTCTCGTTTGAGATGAACCCATAGATGCTCTATCGGGTTCAGATCAGAACTTGATGAAGGCCACTCCAGCACCCCAAAATCCAGCTCTCGGCTGCATGATACGCGACTTGTGCTTGGGTTTGTTATCGTGCTGGAAGATCACGTCCAAGGGGGAAAGCTCGTAAAAGTCAATTGTATTCTTGAGCTCGTCCTGCAGTATGCTCAGATAGAGCGGTCCGTCCATCCTACAGTACCATCAATTTTGCACATGAAACCCCCCTTCCATCATACAAGATGCAACCCCAAATCATCAAGCACCCGGCCCCATGTTTCACAGTCAACTTGATCTGGTGGTGTTGGAGGGCCATATCTTCAAGCACCCAGGCGTACGTGCGGCCGTCAGAGCAAAACCGATTGATCTTGGTCTCATCCTACCAGATCATGCGTTTCTAGTCTTCAACCGTCCAGTCAGCGTGGGCCCATGCGAACTCAAGCCTACCGCATATGTTTTTCTTCGAGAGTTGCGACTTCTTAGGCTGCTGGACTGCGACAAAACCACTAGATTTCAGAGCGTTACGCACCGTCCTAGGATGTACCGTGATGCTGTACTAGGATTCGACAATTTTGGCAGCATGAATCAAGGTTTTCGCCTCGCCGCTACTAATCGCCCTCACTATCCCGCGATGAATTCTATTTGTGACCATGCGTGGGCGACCAGCAGAGGGCATTGAAGGACGCACATCCTTACGGCTAGACTCTGCAATAGCCTTGAGTTCAAGATCATGTACCATACTCTTCGCCACGCCAAGCTCCTTTGCGATTCGCCTTGTGCTATACCCCCTCCGCATTAGGGTTAAGATGCGTACGCGACGTGCCTCATCTAACGGTCTCATCTCAGCCTAGGAGCAACTATGGAGAATAAGCTGCTGTCGAGAATAAGCTGCTGCCTCATCTACTCAGCCACTCAGCCGAAGCTGTCCGGTTGCACTCACGCGACCCAAATCTTGTCCTCGTTATTAGTGTGACCCAAAAAAAATGCAAAAGCATTACCTCTAAACAAATTGCACTCGTACCTTACAACACAGCTTTGGAGATTCGGTATTACAATAGTTCATACCCCCCAAATCATTATTTGAACTCCGAAGCCGATTATATCCGGGCAATACTTTCCGTCACTTTACAATTCTGACTTGCGAATCACGGAAATGAGTTCCGAAAATAGTGGTAGGACTCATATCTGTCCGAATTTCCCACCTGGTACCTATGGCCAAAGCCTGTTTGTCGTGTATGGGGTGTTCAGCTGCGCTCCATGCAATTTCTTGCTAAGGTATGCAATAGGTTGCAACCCTTTGCCATGATCTTACATGGGCACTGCTCCCACGGCTGCATCACTGGCATCTACTTCGAGAACGTAGTCCTTATCAAGGTCAGGTAGGATCAGGACTGGTGCTGAAGTTAAGGCTTGTTTAAGCTTCTCCACAGCTTACGTGTGTGTCTCCCCCCACCGAAAAGGTACTCCTTTTTTTAGTAACTCCGTGATCGGTACTACTTCAGTATCTTGGTATAGTTGGGGACGAAGCGGTTGTAGTAGTTGGCAAAGCCAAGGAACTGCTGCAGCCCCTATACGTTCTCAGGCTGCTTCCACTGCTTCACTGCTTCGAAATTCTTGGGGTCCATGTGTACTCCGCGTGCGCTGCCGACGTGTTCCAAAAAGGGAACTTGATTCAACGCGAACTCGCTTTCCGAGAGTTTGGCTCTGAAAGGCGGTTTTGTGGAAAGAGTTATATGCCATCCGAATCTGCCAATATCTTGATCGAGGTCCAGATTGGAAAAAGTTGTGGCCCCTCGAAGTTGGTCCACCAGGTCGTCTATCCTTGGAATATGATATTTATTCTTGATGGTCTGCTTGTTGAGCGCCCTGTAGTCAATGCACATCCGCAACCATCCATCGGGTTTTGGTGTGAAGAGTGCATGTGCCCCTTAAGGTGATGTTGATGGTCGGATCAGCTCCTTCTCCAATAGGTATTCAATCTGCGTCTTCATATCCGCTAGCTCAGATGGATTGAGGCGGTAAGGAGGTCAGAAATTTGGCTTAGAACCAGGTTCCTCCACGATCTCGTGCTGGTGTGCACGTGCTGGTGGTACGCCCACCGGTAGGTCGTCGGGCAACACGTGATTGAATTCCTGGAAAACCCCTTTGATGGTACTGGAGAGTTCCTCAGGTAGCTCCAATTCGGTGTCGTCTGCTTCAGTAACCAGCACCGTATAGCACTGCTCCGCTTTCTTCAGCTCCTTGGAGAATCGTACCCACGAGATAGTTGGAACGTCTCCCGTGTTGTCCCTAGTTGGTAACTCGGTAGGCTGGTTTTTATTTTTATACGTGGCCGTCCCCTGCTGCCAGTTGATTGTAGGGTTGAATTGCTTCAAGAAATCCCTCCCGAGTATCAGGACCACTCAAAGTGATTGGGTAACTGGTGCAACGGGTGGCCAACGCATTGGTCCGATGTAGAGTTGTAGCCATGTCTCGACGCATACTAGTAACTCTGTGCCATCCACCATTGTCACCGTAAAGTGGGAAGGTTTGCTACTGAGGCCGGGACGTTTGATGGTGGGGTCGGAGCAGACTGTATGGGAGGCTCCGCTATCCACTAAGGCTTTAAATCTCCGGCCGTTGTATATTACTGTCAAGAGTAGAGGAGGTTTGGACTCCCCTGTGTAGTTGAGAACCTTTCAACTAAGAGGGTCAAAGGGTACAAAGGTGGAGGACTTATGGGTACTAATGGGTCCACTAGATTCTAATGGTGCAGCTACTCTTGTGGTGTGATAGGCAAGTGGTGTGTGAAGGGCGGATCCACACCTGACCTAGTTGTTGGTGTAGGGTTGGCACGCGTCCGTGCCGCCACTAGTGTCGATATCGAAGGTGGGATTCGAGGTCATTGCAGCTTCCTTTGGACCTCCAGCTTCCCCCTTAGCTGCTTCAGCCGTGTAGCCGACCCACGTGGGGTATGTGGTGGTGTTGAAGGCTGGTTCTGGGAAAGGATATCAACATCGACAAAGGTTTCGAGTGGCTACGACCGCTTTAATTTCCCCCCAAGGTTCGTCGTCACTATA